CTCACTGGGGTACAGTCCCACACACACTGACTCTCACTGGGGTACAGTCCCACACACACTGACTCTCACTGGGGTACAGACTCCCACACACACTGACTCTCACTGGGGTACGGCTCCCACACACACTGACTCTCACTGGGTTACAGTCCCACACACACTGACTCTCACTGGGGTACGGCTCCCACAAACACTGACTGGTGTAAAAGTCCATAGATCCCTGAAGGTGTCAGCACAGGTAGACAGGATGGTGAAGAAGGCACACAGGATGTTTGCCTTCATTAGCTGGGGTGTAGAATATAGGAGCAAGGAAGTGTTGTTACAACTTAATAAAACATTGGTTAGGCCACAGATAGAATACTGTGTGCCGCTCTGGTCGCCACACTATCAGAAGGATGTGATTGCACTGGAGAAAGAGCAGGGGAGGTTCACCAGGTTGTTGCCTGGGATGAAAAGTCTCCGGTATGAAGAGAGACTGGATAGGCTGGGATTGTTTTCCTTGGAGCAGAGGAGGCTAAGGGTGGGGATTGATTGAGGTTTACAACATTACAAGGGGTTATAGACAGAGTAGACGGTGAGAATCTCTTCCCTATGGCAGATGTGTCTAAGACCAGAGGCAAGAGTTTAAGGTGAGGGGTAAGCAGTTTAGAGGAGATCTGAGGAAGAATGTTTCACCCAGTGGATGTTGGAAGTCTGGAATGTGCTGTCTGAGAGAGGCAGGTAATGTCTTAACATTCAGGCAGCATCTGGATGAACACTTACAATGCAAGGGCATAGTAGGCTCTGGGATTTGTGTAGTTTGGTGTTTGTTGGTCAGCATAGACACGGCGGGCTGAAGGGCCTGTTTCTACACTGTATTACTGTATAGTTGTACATTGAAGACAGAGATGAGGAGGAATTTCTTCTCTCAGACAGTAATGAATCTGTGGAATTCTTTATTGCAGAGGGCTGTCGAGGCTGGGCCATTCAAGGCTGAGAGAGACAGATAGTTAATCAGGAAGAGAATGAAGGGTTACAGGGAGAAGGCAGGGAAGTGGAGGGGGTATTATCAGGTCAACATGATCTGAATGAATAGTGGAGCAGGCTCGATGGGCTGAATGGCCTCCTCCTGTTCTGAGGTTTTTGACCTGGTGGCCTGCCTGCAGGAAGTTGGGCTGTGATGTCGGATCAGAGTGAAGCTGATGGGAATGAGCTGTGGAATAATCTGGAGAATTACCGAGCGAAGCTGACTGCTGTGATTGAGCCATCCAGGATCACCCCGTACCTGCGCCAGTGCAAAGTGCTCATTCACGATGATGAGGAGCAGATCTTCAATGACCCCAACCTGGTTACCCGGCGACGGAAAGTAGGTGGGTGCTCAGGCCCATCCCCGCAGCGACGGAGTGGGAGAGGGAGGGGGAGGCTGGGCCACCTGGGGCTGGGAGCGTGGGTGTCTCTGGCTGGGTCAATATTCCCGACTCCATCCCTAATTGCCCTTGAACTGACTGTCTCACTTGGGCTATTCCGGAGGGCATGAAGGGTCAACTACAGACAGGGCTGTGGGCCTGGAGTCACGAGGAGGCTTGTCATGGTCCCAAACTGATCCTGGTCAGAAATTACCCGACACCAGGTTACAGTCAACAGGTTCATACAAGCTTTTGGAGCCTCGCTCCTTCATCAGGTGCAGTCAAGTCACAAACCACTTCCCCCTGATGGAGGAGCAGAACTTCTGAATAAGGGTCCAGACCCAAAACGTCAGCTTTCCTGCTCCTCTGATGCTGCCTGGCCTGCCGTGTTCCTCCAGCTCCACACTGTGTTATCTCTGACTCCAGCATCGGCAGTTCCTACTATCCCAGAGCTCCGAAAGCTTGTGTTTTCAAACAAATCTGTTGGACTGTAACCTGGTGTTGGCTGATTTCTGACCTTCCCCATCCCCAGTCCAACACTGGCCCCTCCACAATAAATTGTTCCAGCAAACGGAGGCGATTGTAGGTTCAAACAAAACAGCAGCATGTTTGGAGCAGGAAAGCTGACATTTCAGGTCGGGACTTTTCTTCAGAAATGCCCCTCTGACGCTGCCTGGCCTGCTGTGTTCCTCCAGCTCCACTCTGTGTTATCTGAGACTCCAGCCTCGGCAGCTCCTGCTATCTCCCAGCAGCGCTTTTCCTGTGTAGTGAAGGGAAACGTGTCTCTCAGAGAATGTTACTGTGGCAGGAAGTGAGCAATGCCATAGGGTTTACCTCGCCACCCCTGCTACCGGGGGCCGGGAGGGAGGGGGGAATGTTGGTGGTGTGCCTCAGCACCAGACACTGGGTCAGACTCACTGAGTGTTCCTGCACAGAAAGAGGCATTTCGGCCCATCGTGTCACCCAGCTGCTATCCTGTCTCATCCCATTTCCCAGAACTTGGCTGTGGCCATCATATTCTGCAGCATTTCAAGTGCCCCCCAACTTCATCCTTCAAACTGCCTCTCTCTGCACCCCCCACCAAAACTCAGTATGAGTTCCAGATTCCCCCCCACCCTCAGGGTTAAAACAAGCACTCTGATACACCTCCTGCTCTTCGTTTCAAACTGCCCCCCTCCCTGTTTACCCCCATTAGTATTCACATCTCCACTATGGGGAATCATTTCTCTCTTTTTAGATGTTTATGTCCCTCGAACTTTGTACACCCCAATCAGATTCCACCTACGCACTCAGCCTTCTCTGCTCTAAGGAAAACAAGCAAGCTTTTCCTGCCTCTCTAACGTTAACTAACGTTAGATACAGCACCATCACAATCTCTCAGTTCTCGCTTTCAAAGCCTCAACAGACACAGGTAGGTATCAAGGATCTACGGAGATGCACCACCCTGCAGGCAACTCATCCAGCAACCCCTCCCCAGCTACAGCAATTAGCTCAGCCCTAGGGTAACTGATCCATTAGGCTACACAAAATCGACAGGGTCCCCCTTCCCTTTGTATACAACACGGGGTTTACTCCAGCCATCACTTCATAGCAATCATTTCTGACCATTTACGGATCTTTCAATTTGACCCATTTGGTGTGTGTGTGTGAGTGTGTGTGAGTGTGTGTGTGTGTGTGTGTCAGTGTGTGTGTGTGCGTGTGTGTGTGTGTGTGTATGTCAGTGTGTGTGTGTGTGTGTGTGTGTGTGTGT